GTGTGCACACGCGCGCGCGCGTGTGTGCGTGCGTGCATGTTTGAGTATGTATCTGGCTCTTTGGAATACACGCTAAGTCTTTGGATCCGTACACTGGAACGTGCAGCCACATCCATCAAACTGGGATGGGAGAAACCTTCTGGGTGTGAGAGTCCACCCCATTCAGCTCTAGTAGGCCTGAAAAGAGAAATTCCCTGAGTCCAGAAGTCCACTGGATTTGGCTGCTCCATAATAGAAGGGGAAGAGAAACCCAGAGAAACAGCGCAGCAGAGACCAAATGGGTGCAGAGAGAGGCAGCACTGGATAAGCTACAAAGCAATGGGGAGGGCTGGCAGTTTGACCTGTGCTTTGCAGTAACTGGACAGCCCTATAACAAAAGTGCAGGACCCAAGCGCAAAGCTCTATAAAAACCTCTTTAGTGTTTGTTTTCTCCAGTAAGTACTATTAAAGCATCTGGGCAGGACCCTTCCCTGCAGATCCAAGAGTGGCTCAGCTCTCCCAGCAAGCTCAGCCTCTAAGGAACATGCAGCAGCCAGCAACCACGTGGATGTTCTTGCCTTCTCCTCGACCACGGTGTGGCAGGGGGTTAGGGCCCAGTCAAGGAAGGCCATGCCCAGACAGTCACTCACAGGAAGGGGAAAGGCCCAGCTGTCCACCACCAGAGTACTGAGTGCATGAGAAAATCACTTTCCTCTGTGAAGGCCAGCTCTAACTAACCCCAGAAATCCAGGGAAATGGGAAACAACAAACTCGGGATCCAAGGCTTTAGGCAGATGGGGGCTTCTCCTCAGGGCAGCTCTCCTCCTCTTCCAACAAGTCCTCACTCTTCTTCTGCAGGTCAAAGCTCTGAAAAGGAGCAGGACAAGAAACTCTGAGAAGCAGGAGAGCAACAGCCACACCCTGCTTTGCTGTGATACTCTCAAACCCTGCCTAGGGCAGCATGAGCTCTCCAGAGTGCCGCCACCTCATCCATTCCAAACTAGACATGGGCAGCACACAAACCCCATAGTGTCACCCACTGTAAAGCAACTCTCTCCAAGCATGCAAAGTTTCACCCTTTGCTGCATGCTCTCAGCTTTCCCCGAGGGGAAAAAGGGCAGAGCTGCTAATCACTTAGGAGAGGGAGGAGTGCAGTAAGTAGAGTTTTTCTTACCTCCAGCTCTCGCATGACCTCATCCATGAAATCGCCGGAATTCTGTTTGTAAGCAACTGCCAGTTTGATAGCATCGTTGAAGAGCTGATGAGAAGGAAAATGCTTGTCACTCAACGTAAAGGGCGCTGGGTTTCTTCCAAGATAGGGAAACTGTCTATTTCCACCCCCCAAGAAAAAAACTCTGCAACAACCTACAGCTACCAGAACCATCACAAGGAACCAACCAGAAGCACTAGCCCCTTTTCTGCTCTCTGTGCCTACAGCAATCTCTGTGTCCTTGGACTGCATAGGGCTCTCATGGACACTGAGCCAAATAGCTATGTCTTACCTTCACTACGTTGGTGCCATCTGCAGCAGACACAAAGTAAAAGGGCAAATTGAACTTCCGGGCAAAGTTGAAGCTTTTCTGCGTCACCTTCATATCCGCTGGGGGAAAAAAGAAGAAGCGGTCACTGAGACACCACTGTAGGCAGAATGCCAGCATAGGCACGGGTTGGCGGAGCATACGGAGACCAGAGCCCGATCTAGTTGTCAAGGCCTCCTCGCTGCAGTGCAAGGCCAGGACAGTCCTCCCCGGGAGCCAGAGGGGTTTAAAAGTGACAGCATCAGCAAACGGTTGGCAAGAAGACACACAAAGGAAAGAGTTTTTGTTGCTTGTCCGTGGTGCTTGACTAAAACGCAGACGGAGCCTTATGCGCTATAAATGAATAACGCTTTGCAGCAGAAAACATCCCAGTTCACTTGCTGTGCTGCAACTGTGAATGTTTTCCAGGTGCATCCCTGTGACTTTTGCTATGTGTCCTCATGACCTGGACACCACTGCCAACACTAATCGTGCCTCTCCCTCCGTTTTGCACTTTCTAACCATACCTGGCCACTGTCTTTATGCCACGTTACCCACATTCCTGTGAGTCAAGGATAGGCTCACAGCATACAAGTGACCACGTTGTTCTATGGGTGTATTCAACAGACAGGTCTGGCTACTCTAAACGCAGTAGGCAAGGGGCCTTGTTTCAATTTTGAAGCAAATCTACAGCATATCTGCAGGCCATGCTGGCACAGCAGTATCAGCTCAAAGTTTTGGTAGAAAGACAGCCTGTATGCCAGCACAGGAGGAGGAGGACTCCAGACCAGCCGTCTTTTCTCCTGGAAGCAACAGCTAAAGTAGTTCAGATTCCAGATGCGTGCCAGCGAGCGCTGCCCGGGCAGCTGTTCCGCGCCTCCTCAGAGAAAGCAGGAAGCTGGACAAGCAATTCTGCAGGCTGGACCTGTGCTAAGAGCTGTAGGCTGATCATTTCCTTGTGCTGGTGGAAAACAGCAAACAAAGCAGGGGAGAAGAGTCCCCTGGAGCACTCTCCACTCTCACACAGAAAACTAAGAGCAGGATTCACCTGCGTAGACGCAGTGTCTACAATAGGGGTTCCAACAGCAGGTCAATTTGCCTCGTG